CGCTGGGAGCTTCATGGAATGGGCTTCCATGGCTGAGCAGCTGCATGCAAGCCTCACATCACCAAACACAATGCCAAGTGTCGGATGGAGTGGTACAAAGCACACTGACACTGGACTCTGGAGCATTGGAAATGTCTTCTGTGGAGTGATGAATCAGGCTTCTCTGTCTGGCAGTCTGATGGGTGAGTCTGGGTTTGGTGGATGCCAGGAGAACGCTACCTGTCTGACTGGGCACAGACACACTTCAAAATCTTGTAGAGAGCCTTCCCAGTAGAGTGGCAGCTGTTACAGCTGCAAAGGGGGGACCAGCTCCATATTGATGCCTATGGATTTAGAATGGGAAGTCATCAAAGTTCCTGAAGGCATGATGGCCAGGTGTCCCAGTACGTTTGTGCCTATAGTGCATATCTATGCATAGCAGGTAGCACAGTGGTACTGTGGTTAACACAGTGGCTTCACGCCACTGGGTCTACTATGGCTCCATGTGTTCTCCCTGTGATATCATGGGGTTTCCTCTGGGTTTTCCTGTTTCCCCCCACAGTCCAAAGACATACTAAGGTGAATAGAATGTTGCCAAATTCCTTGTGCATGCATGCATGCACCCTGTGATGAGTTGATGCCCCATCTTGGGTTATTCCCTGCCTTGCACCTATTGTTTCCAGGATAGGCTCCGGGACCCTGGGCTATACAACCAAAAAACTCTTGACATTCACCTGGCCAGTTTTACAAGGCTTGCAACATTTGGGTGATTTTGTTTCCAGAATGTATTTGCAAGAGAAAGTTTTGAAAAAGGCTGATCTCCTGAGACGGACTAATATAAGAGACCCACAGCTGATGTACTGTAACAGATGTATCCTATTGGTTCAGCACTCCGGGGACAGTCAGCAGACGTTGGTGCTGGACCAGTTGGTTTCCTTTTTGATAGTTTTATTGACCATTAATTGACCAGCGTCGTCTATTAGACTTTAAATGTATTATACTCAGACTTAGACCTGGAGATTTGCTATGTTTGCTTGTGTATGCTATGTTTTTAAATCTCATTTTGTTTAAATAAATTGAGACTTAAGCACTGGACTCATTGATTTTTTAATGAAATTTGACAGATTATGACAAGAGTAACGCGTCTATTAGCATTTTGTTCTTTGTTTTTTTGATTGTGTTTAAATGAGTAGAGACTTAAACCATTAATCTAGAGTAGGGTTGGAAACCTGACATCTATAACTTTAAGCATGGTTTTTTATCAGGCAACCATTAATTTAAATTTTTATATACAGTTGAAACCAGATATTTCCGTACACTTCAGAAAAAAACACAAAAACTTTTTTTTCTTTACTGTCAAATATTAAATCAGAGTAAACTTTTTCTGTTTTAGATCAATAAATAACATTTTTTGCATTTATTAAATGTCAGAATAGAGAGAGAATTTTTATGTATTTTTTTTTATCACTTTCATCAAAGTCAGAAGTATACATATACTAAGTTTATTGTATCTTTAAACAAAACGAAAACTCCAGATGATTCCATTTGGAGCTTAAAAAGCTTCTGATAGGTTAATTGATTCCATTTGAGCTAATTGGTGGCACACCTGTGGATGCATATAAAGGCACACCTCAAAAACAGAGCCTCTTTCTTTGACATCATGGGAAAATCAAGAGAAATCAATTCAATTTTCAATTCAATTTTATTTATATAGCGCATTATCACAACATTACATTGTCTCAATGCGCTTTACATTTCTGCCTCGTAAGGACCCCCCATTGAGTAAGCCAAAGGCAACGGTGGCAAGGAAAAACTCCCTAAGAGGAAGAAACCTTGGGAGGAACCAGACCCAAAGGGGGAGCCCATCCTCCAGGGGCCGGCAGATGAGTCAAACAAACAAGATGATATGACTAAGCTAATACAGACAAGATGAAATGACTAAGCTAATACAGGGGTTGAAATATATGTCTCAATGCAGCGGCCGACCGGTGCAGGCACGTGGTGCTTGATGCACGATGGCAGGATTAATAGACACACAGCAGCAGGATGGATGGCGAGGCATCGTGTTGAGCCAAGGGCAGGCAGGTTGGAGGGTAGTTGCCGGAGGTGGAGGTAGTTGTCTTGCAGGCCGCAGAGGCATAAACTCTTCAACGAAAAATCAACCAAGAAATCAACCAAGAAACCAGGAAAAGAATTGTGGACCTCATCCTTAGGTGCAATTTCCAGATGCCTGAAGGTCCCACGTTCATCCATTAAGACAATAACACGCAAGTATAAAAAACATGGGAATGTACAACCGTCATACTGCTCAGTCCCAGAGAGGAATGTTTTTTTGGTGCGAAATGTGCGAATCAACCCCAGGACAACAGCAAAAGACCTTGTGAAGATGCTGGCTGAAGCTGGTAAGACAGTGTCATTGTCCACAGTACCGACATGAGCTGAATGGTTACTCTGGGAGGAGAAAGCCATTACTTCAAAACCACCATAAAAAAAGCCAGACTACAGTTTGCAACTATACATGGGGACAAAACTCTTAAATTCTGGAGACATGTCCTGTGGTCTGATGAAACAAAAATTCAACTGTTCGGCTATAATGATAAATGGTATATTTGGAAAAAGGGGGAAGCTTCGAACACCATCCCACCTGTGAGGTATGGGGGTGGTAGTATAATGTTGTGGGGCTGCTTTGCTGCAGAGGGGACTGGTGCACTTCACGAAATAGATGGCATCATGAGAAAAGAAAATTATGTGGATATATTGAAGCAACATCTGAAGACATCAGCCAGGAAGTTGAAGCTTAGGTGCAAATGGGTCTAACAAATGGACAATGACCCCAAGCACACCTCCAAATTAGTGACAAAGTGGCTTAAGGACAACAAAGTCAAGGTACTGGAGTGGCCATCACAAAGTCCTCATCTCAATCCCATAGAAAATTTGTGGGCGGCACTGAGAAGGCGAGTGTGAGCAAGAAGGCCTACAAACCTGACCCAGTTACACCAGTTCTGTCAAGAGGAATGGGCCAAAATTCCAGCAAACTATTGTAGAAAGCTTGTGGAAGGATACCCAAAATGTTTGGGCCAAGTGAAACAGTTTCAGGGCAATTCTACCAAATACTAAGGAAGTGTATGTAATAAATGTCTGACTGATGAAAGTAAAAAAAAAAAAAAAAATCCATAAAATTCTCTCTTTATTCTGACATTTAACAAATGCAAAAAATATGTTAATATTTATTGATCTAAAACAGAAAAAGTTTACTCTGATCTAATGTTTGACAGTAAAGAAAAAAAAAAAAAATTTTGTTTATTTTTTTCCTGAATTGTATGTAAATATGTGGTTTCAACTGTATATAATATTATTCATTAAGAGATGTGTGCAGTGTAACACTGCCATCTAGTGTGGATTTCCCTATTTTTATTTGTGGGGTTTTTCAGTTCTTGAACTGGTAGGCAGTGGCGGATCCTGGCAAGGACAAGATGGGCAATTGCCCATGGAAGCATCTTTTGAGGAGGCACTGAATTGCTGGCGGCAAGGCAGCTGACTCACAATTTGCCCAGGGCACCAAGCATGCCAGCGCCAGTACTGCTGCCAGGAGGGATTGCTTTACCTGCCTAATACTTACCCGAGGCCTGAATTGTTTCATGAATAATATCAGTGTGTATTATGAGATACGTCATTGCTTTGTAAATGTGTATCAGCTAGACATTTTTACATGACACACATTACCAAACGCGCCAAAACATATGTGTTTTTCATCCGCAGCAGAGCATGTATCTGGAATATGGACACATAATTTTATTTTTTGTTTGATGTCACAGTCATTGGTTTACTTTGAAAACACAGGTGTAACGGGTTTTTGATTAGCTGGAAAAGACGTGCTTTGAATTTTTCCATCTGAGTGAAATGTGGTTTAGTGCACCCTATATTTTATACACATAAACAAAGACATTTGAAACTTTTCTTTAAAAGGTTTGTGCCTCTATAAACTATTTTGAATAATTTCTGCTGTATCTCCGAAAATATAGAAGATTTTGTTCACTTCTCCCCAGTGCCCAGTGCCCAGTGCCCAGTGCGCAGTGCCCTGCCAGTGATGGCTCTTTTGTGCCTATAAAAGTTATACTGTACCCCAAATCACTGATGTGCAAACAAAACAATAACAGTTGTCATTGTACCCTGTGATCCTGCATTGGGTAAGTGCCTATGAATGATGGATGGATTTATGGAGGGAGTGATGGATTATTACATCATCAACAGCCTCATTTGGAGCCCCCCCCCCTCCCCCTTGGTTGAGAAGGACCTATCAGAAGGGTTGCATTCTGCTTAGATATTTACACATTAGGGAGGACATGTGGTGGCGCAGTGGCTCAGAAGGTAACCCTGTGACCTCACACCACTGGGCTCACAGTTTGGATTAGTTGACCTACCCACAGTGTGTGTGTGTGTGTGTGTGTGTGTGTGTGTGTGGCCATGTATATATTACATTGTGGGGATCTAATGTTCCCACCATGTCATAAAAAACAACTATTTTGACCTTGTGGGGAGAATTTTTTGGTCCCCGCAAGGGAAAGCTCAACTTTATAAAATTATGTAAATGCAACTAAAAAACTAAAAATGCCAAGTCTTGTATTTGGTTTGGTTACTTATGGTAAGATTATCATCGTTACCCTGGACTTGAGAAATGCTTCCTGGAAGACTGCTGGACTGGCCGTCTGGCATACTGGGAATTTCCTCCTGGGCTGATGGATATGGGGGCTAGCAAAATATATTTTTATGCCCCTCACCACCAAGCCCCCATCCCCCACCCCAACTTTCAGTATGAGACCCTAAAGTTCTGATTTTTAACCCAAGTTCAGCCCTGGTATTGGGTAAAAGGTTATACAAGATGCATGTGTGGTATAACTGTGCATTTAAAATGTTATCAAAGAAAAGTCAGTAATAATACCTTGTGATATTCCTGTTTCATAGAAAGTACATTACAAAACGTAGTGTTACTGCTTCAGATGTAAATTTTATTGTTAGTTAAAATTAATCAATTGCAGTCAAGCCATTATGCATGTTATTGCAAATCAAGTTTCCAGTATATTTGAAAGACAAAATGAATCCCAAGAAAGTCATTATTAGAAAATCCTCCTGTTAATATTATCGGTTATTTTCAACTAATCAGTCATGCGGTTCCCTGAAACATAACAAGGCCTTTTAGCCAGAATTCAACATTCTTATAAAGGTATGTTTCAACAATAGGAACCTGGTCATTTAATGGAAATTGAAGTGATACATCATTAGTCAGCCTTGTCATAAATTGATATGTGCCGCTTGTTTCCAAAAACTCGTTACATTTCCATTATGTTTTCCACTGAATATCCTTCAAGAAAATTACAATTTTGTTCTACCTTTTTCCTTTAGTGAGGTTTCTCCATTCTCTTTTCCGTCCTACTCTAGGCAACAGGGGATAGAAGGGGAGAAGCCAGTCATAAACAGAAATTTAATAGTTACAAGAATAAGCAGTAAGCTAAAGGAATAAACACAGCTGACAGCACACAATTTTGGTCGTTGTTCCGTGGAAGGAGACTCCTTTCTTAAGGTTTGATGGTAAAATCCACCCAGCCATGCACCTGCCTCAGCAAGGCACAATCCAGACAGGCAATCAATTTGTTCTGACCCTCCTTAGTTGGGGTGAAGGACTCAGTCCAGGTGAAGGAGGACATTGAGGCAAGGTGGCTGCAACCAAACACATGTGACAATGGTCACCCTGATGATTCAGGCCAGTGAACATTAAAGAATTAATCATGAACAATTGTCGCTGTCCAATGAAGTGAAGGGAAAGTGATTAGTTGTCAAAATGTGTCCTCTGTATTTAACCCATATGTGACGTAGCAAGAGGTCATATTTTAGTGCAGTCTGTTGTTTGAAAAATATTTAAGTTAAGTTAAAATGTGACTGACTCTTAAGGGGTTTATGGCTACGTCGGTTTAGCTGTATTACTTGGGGTTTGACACCGAATTTTCAGTACGGTCAATCCCTGGGGTTAAGAACATGTGACATAAAAACTACTTGCTATAGAGCCTATTATATTGTAGCACCAGTGAGATTTGCATATCCCAGCATGCTTGCGGGCCGTGTGTATACCCCCTGTGTATGTGTTCTTGTAAGCAGCTGTATGCATTTGTTAGTGTAAATAAACAGGAGAATGGGTGTATTCTACCCACAGGAAAAAGACATAACCGTCAAAAATGTACATCACGGTTTTCCTGCAGAGTTTTTATAGCAACCGTATATAATACTACTACTACTACTACTAATAATAATAATAATAATAATACATTTTATTTATGTAGTGCTGTTACCAGATTTCAAAGATGTTTACATAGTATAAAGTGAACAAATAAAACAAAATTAGAGGTGAGGTTGGTGTAGCCTAATCTAAGGGTAATTGGGCTAATTTTGTTGAGTGTGGATTTTGTCCCAAAGATATATATTCTTTGAGTTAGGTAAATGAATAGTTCTACTTGTATAACAGGATGAAATTTTTCAAGGATTAAACATGATTGTTCCTAATGAAAAAACTTCACAGTATGAATTCCCCAATTAACTGATTGCAGAAAATATATTCAGTTCCGACAGATAGCAAAAGAAGGAATTAGGTTCTGATGTGTTTTTTTACCTGTATGTTTTTGTTTTGGATGCAAAGATAACTGCGCCTTCCATTGTCACAGTGATGTTTGTCAGGTGATAATTCAGAGTGTTGGTGAACTTCACTGTAAAATACATCTTCTGTTTGACTTTCAGGTTGCCACTTACCTGAAAAAGGAATAGAGGGTATTTTTATCATCATAAATTAATCACTGGAAATTTATAATCCCTGTGTTTCATAATTTTTGTTATCATGAATGACCATGGTCATTTAGGGCAACAGGCAACACTAACTAAACTAACTAACAACTGAAACTAAAGAAGGAAAAAATTCTCTCATTTGTAGTTTACAGAGGTACAGGAAGTTAATTGCATTACGGAATTTGTAATGTATTGTGATTTCATGACAAACAGACACATCATCAATTCCCAGAGGAAAGTATAAAGTAGTCAGTGGTATACTTAAACAAATTAGAAAACAAAAAATAGAAATGTAGCCTTATTGTATACAAGGAATAAATACAAATTTGCAAAAAGCTGTAATGTGCCAATTGTACTGTGGAGTAAGGAGTATCTACAAATTCATAATGGATATGTACAGACCTTAACAGTGCCATATATTTTACTTAATTGTTTGGTAACGCTTTACATTAACTGCACCTTCGTAATGCTTTTATATTGCATTCATAAAACGTTCAGTGCATCTTCATAATGTATTCATTAAGTATTCATAAAACATTCATAAACATCATGTATGTATACCTTTACATCCTAACATCCCATAACAGCTGTAATATACATTAATAACAAACATTACATAATAATAACAAACATTATAGTCATGTATATTAAAGCTGTTAAGGGATGTTAGGATGTTAAGGTGTACCTGCATGCTGCATATGAATGTTCTATGAATGCATTATGAAGGTTCACGAAATGATCTATAAATGTATAATGAATGCATTATGAAGGTGCACTTAATGTAAAGTGTGACCAATTGTTTTTTATTCATTTGCATGTTTTTTTTAATTAGAAGTAATGATAACGTAACTTACAGCTGTCATCTATAATGCACTATAGATGCCTTCAAAAGACATTTTAATGGTTGGTATAAGAATTAATAAAACATTACAGAATCATCTATTGACAGTAACAAGGCATTAGAGTGTTTATTATAATATATGAAGCTCTCATCTATAATGCACTATGGATATCTTGGAATAAGAACTGAGGATGCTTTGTACTGTATTTTGAACGTATCTATAGTGCATTGTAGATGAGAGCGTCATAATGCATAATAAACATGGCTATAATGAGCTATGCTCATTTATAAATATTAATAGCCACGCTTTTAATGCTTTATTATAATGTATTATGAATGTGTTAATAGATTCTTGAAATATTACCAACGTTACAAGCAAAGTCTCCCTGTAAATTATTTTCTAGCATAGAAGCAGCATATGGCAGTAAGAGACACAGGTTTCTAATCCAAGCCACTGGAAGGACTCGCATATTGGACCCTTGGGGGCAGTGCTGATTTAGTAGAATAAAATATAAAACTTATACTTAGCTCTGTGATTTCTAATTCCATTTTTAAAATATTGTTTAATATCCATGCATTGACACAGTAGAAAAGAAACATGCGTGTTTTGTCTGACCTCAATCGTGAGTTTGGGGCCTTGCAGGGTCACCACACTTTGGGCGCTGATGGCCTGTCGCGTTTCTTTGATTTTCGCCATGACTAAGAAACTCAGGTTGCCCTGATCCAGAAGCTTGCTCATGTACTCTTTGGCCTTGACTTCCACATATTGTACTACAGCTGAAAGACAGAGGGTGCAGATGAAAGTTTAGGGAATATTGTTTTGTGTCTATTTGTGATGTTGGGGTAGTAAATACGGTACTATTCCAATGTCTGGACACACCTGCTTTTAATGCATTTGTTAATATTTTAGCTGTTATTTGCCTTATAGTAAAAGGCCTCCAGGCCATGAAGTAATATATATCAAATTTTATATCGAACAAGCAAAGTGTTCAACATCTCAGACTTTAGACTCTTCAAAATAGCCCCCTTTTCCTTCAATGACATCGTTGCAAACTCGTGGCATTCTTTCAACTAGCTTTCGGATGTAGCCACCTGGAATGCCTCTCCAACAGTAAAATAATTTTATTTTAAAATTGAATAAATTCCTTTTTGTGCTAAAAGTGAGACTTATGAAAGTAAAAATGATCGAATTGATGAGATAATTATATAGGAAACACAACTTACTTTTTAAAGGCTCCAACTTCACACTGAAAGCACTGGCATTTATTTTGGGCCCCAGGACGCCAGTGTAGTAAATGACGTTGCCAGAGACGACAGAATCAATGTTGTACAGGGATCGACCCAAGTTCCTGAGCTGAATGTTCAGTTTGAAATCCTTGCCGATCACTGCATTCTCTGCGAGGACCTTTATCTCCACATCCTCCTTGGGTAAAGCTGATCGGTCCCTGGCAGAGCCGTAATTCTCTGCAGTAGCGACAGCCGTCTGCTCTTCTGTGCTTCCTGTGTTGCAGAAGGAATAGACTTATGTCTAATAACGACTAGACAGTACAACTTTTGGACAGTCTCTATCAACACCTTATATGTATGTACATGTAATTGGTGAAAAGCTATTGCTGTACTTGCTCAGGAAAGCAGTAGAGAAGTCTACACTTCTAGTAATCCAGGAAATTTTATTAAGAACAAATATAGTCTTCTTTTGAAGGAATTAATTTAGCACTTATTGTCAGTTGTCTGGAAAATTTTACATCACATTTACGTCTGGAAAATACAAATCCAGACCACAGTTTTGTTTCAACCTGCCAGTTGAGTACTCTGTGAGTGTGACTCTTTATACTCAATTAGTCGGTAGACACAAAACCTTGGATTTGTACTTTCTGGACCTAAACTTTCCACCTCTGCTGACTGTTTAGACTCATAAATTAATAGACAACTTTGGCCGTCTTGGAACAATCATCAACCACAAAGGAATGTTTGAAGTTGTTGACTACTGAAGTTACTGAAGAATACTGTGCATCACAAGAGAAACAACCAAAAAAGCCTGAACTTTCACTTGAAGCACAAATAAGTGGACTACAGCTATCTTCTTTTGGTCATTGGGGGTACATGTCCCCCCACCCCCTTGGTTACTATGCCCCTGGCTCAAACTGAAACCCACCACCCCTAAACCTTCAGCTTCACCTGAAGGATATTTGTACGTGTCGGTAATATCCATCCAGGTATCCTGGCCAATCCCTTTGGTCAGAATGAGTATTCCAACATAGGTTTGATCCACGTTCACTACTTCGTCATCTCCATTGGGCTCCTCCTCAGTAACTATGACTTCACTGTCCACCTAAATGCAATGTGAAAATGGTCAAGCAAACACAATGGATTTCCCTGCGAATCAAATGGAAGTGCATGAAGGCCGTCTAAAAGGGGAAAATACCAAATTAAACATTTAAATTAAAGTTGAAAGTTTTGAGATTGAAATCAAAGGTTTTAAGATTAAAGTCGAAATAAAATTTCAAGATAAAAGAAAATGTATAGATTAAAGTCAAAAACTTTTTGATGAAATACGAAATAAACTTTTGATGAAAAAAAGTAAAACATTTTCATATTATATAGAAAGTTTTGAGGTTAAAGTTGAATTATACAATAATACATTTCAATCTCAAGACTTTTCATGTTTTTTCCTTTTAATTGGCTCTAATACACTCCAGTAGAAGATAAGGAGTTAGTAAAAATAACAACCTCTCCTACTGCATGATTCCATCATTTCCATGCTGCATTTTCTGAAACTGCAAAATGTTTGACACATTTCTTCTTAATGTTTTATATAAACATAATGCTCAAGCAAAGCATTTATGCCTGCATTGATTACTAAAAAGTGACACATTTACTGTAACTTGTGACAAAACTGAAAGAATACATGTATGAAGATACACAAATGCCTGGATACTAGCAACTGAAAACTAACACTGACAACACCATAAAATGATAAAATGATTTGGACACAGGTTAAATTCAGCTCTTTACCTCAGAATACACAAATGGTGTATCATATGAATAATAGATCATGCCTTGCTTGATGGCATAGATAGAGGCAGGACCACATCTGTACATGCCTGAAAGGTGGAAGAAACCGGATTTGAAATGTTGTTCAGCTTGCAAGTCAAGATTGATCAAATTATTCCTAGTGCAGTGTCCTCAATGGAAAACCAAAATCAAGTGATCTTGTAAAACTTCTTTCTATATCAATAATGTTACAAAACTCTGCAATACATATGGGTTACAATCTTAATTTATATAGTTGAGTTGTTTTTTATGTGTGACAGAAAATAGATACATATTTTAATGTGTTACAGAACTAAAACAATGAAACCAGCATGAAACAGGAATTTGTTATTATCGTTTATTTATTGTAATACTCATGTCATCAGGGTTTTTTTGACTTTGGAGTGTTTTATCTTGGTCTATCTGGGCCCCGAACCATAATGACATGTTAAACTAAACGCAGAAAGTCGAAAAGCTACTCGTTTATCTCAATAAAGGACGGCCGATGACGTACCTTTGAAGCATTGTAAATTGTGTATGTTATAGGTAATAAAAAGACTCCCTAACTGTTATAATGAAGAGCTACATTTGAGTGACAGAATCTTCAGTGAGGTAATGGTGAGTATGTATTGGTATCAGAGAGTGAGGGTTATCTAATCTCTCACCATCACTGGTCTCTTGGGGGGTGGAGTCAACCGCCTGCCAGCCGCCTAAACCCACAGGGAGGTCCGGTCTGGCCATGTAGGCTTCATTCCAGCAGTGGTAGTTCCTGCAGACATGATCCACAACCTCCAACATTAACAAATTTAAGATACGGTACTGCGCAAAAGTCTTTCAGTTTGGTGTAAAACTAAGATATGTCTATGTGTGTTAGCTTAGCCATTTTGAAACTTTTCCTAACGTCACCCCAGTATTTGTAGCATCTACCCAACATAATCATGTATTTGTTGACCTGACCACTAGCATAACATGTTTGACTACTCAGTGCCTCATTGAATTATTTAACTAATTGAGGTAATTAGTTAAAAGAGATGCCGGTGAAATTTAACGCATGAAGCAGTGTTTTTTGTTATGGTCATGTGCTTGTAGTATAATATGATTTTACTTTTTTTGCACTGCCCAAATAAATAGAAAGAGACTTTTTCATAAATACTGTAACTGATGTGAAACTGCAGCTCATCTTCTGTTTAAAAGATAATTTCTTCACATTTTAGGCTGAGCAATGTGAGCTATGTGTTTCAAATGTTAAGCTATTATAAATGTAGTTAGTAATTATATACCAGTTAGCCAGTCCAGAGGATGAAACTGGAGAAGGATAAATGAAAATGTAAGAAATTCTGATTTTTACATTATCAGCTAAATATTTAGCATGAAAAAGCTTTTATACTGACAAGCCTTTGACATGTTTTTACCAGACTTACCAAATGGTGTCTATAGTACGGATTTCATCAGTGTCCCCGTTCTTGTGAACATATATATGCGAAGTTATGCTTCCACCGTGGTCGTGGGCAGAATTGAAGTTAGTGATGACCCGTGATGGAATTCCTACACACCGGAGAACTGTGACCAATTGTAAGGAGACAGAAAAAGAATTATTTCCAATATTTTTACTTGTATAAAATGAGTAATTAAAAATAAATATTTTATGCTGTTTATACTAACCAGAGCCAGACACCTACCCCATGAATGACAGTAGCATTGATTTTTTTGTTTTACCTTAGAAATATCTCCACAAATTTAAAAAAAATAATTAGAAAAAAAAAGATTTGGAATGAATAAAAAATCTTAAAATGAGAGAATTGTCACGTAGAATTTTATTCTACGTGGATATTATTGACAGTGTTGGGAACCTTTTTGTCCATTTTTTAATAACAGAGCTTTTACGAAGTGTCAGAAGTTGTATTTACAGGTGTTGAAGATTCCGGCAAACACCCAGCACTGCCCGTAACGCACAGGTTGCCTCTTTTCGGCGAAGCTTCTCAGGATTTCGACGCTGCCCGTCCATGAGGTGGGGGCGCGACCATCAGAGAAATCGTTGCTCCAGTTTCCCACCAGGACCCCATGCACTCTGTCAGGGGAATTCAACTAGGCGCATAGAAATACAATAAATCATTTTCAATGCTTCTCTAAACAGAGAACCAACCCAAGGCAAAAGCCAGCTAAGCTGCTCCTTAGGGACCGGCAGCCACCAGGGGGCCCCCTACCATGACCAGCCTGTCAGAATTGTAAGGAACATGACAAATGATACCTAGGTTAATCGAATTTTGCATTTTGGCCCTGAAAATGACTTGGCCCAGTCCTATCTAAATTTACAAATAAAACAAATAGCATTTCAGTTCATTGTCTAGAACAGGATGATAATTGTACATGGAGGGCCAAATCCAAGTTTCGCTAAATCTACAGGGATCATTTCTGCCAGTTAATTTTTAAGTCCTGTGAAATCTACAGTAATAGATGCATTAAATTTGACTTTTCTGTTTTTTGATAATACATGCAGAAATTGAGAGTGCATTTTATTCATTATTAACTCAAAGAATAATGAACAAAAATCTGCTCATATTCAGAAACTTGAACATGAAACTGAACTATATTTAAAATTTATTTTAATGATCGCAGGGGCAAGATAGCTTTGGCAGGCTAGCAGGTCTGGTCTAAAGGAACAGAGCATATTTAACTATTGGCTTTTAAATCATAAACATGGGCGGGTAGCAGTGAATGACATAGTGTCACATTTCAGGTGGAGCTTGGCTGTTTTGATTATACTGGGGAAGAGTATTTATCAAGACCGAAGATTGAAAGATCGAAGAAGGAAATTACCCTGGCAGATGCCTGTCGGGAAACGATGACTGGATCGCCTCTGTTACTCAGGGGAAGTGTGGCATCATCCATGACCAGGAGACAAGCATCCAGAATGCCACTCTCAAACTATAGCACAGAGAGCAGGAAAACAACAGCTTTGCACATCAGAAAATACTATTCACGAAAAATGCATTAAAATCTGAAGAGAAATCTGAAATCTGTATACAATTCAAAATATAAGATAGATGGATGGAGTATACATGAAAATGAAAAGCTGCTTTTGTCAAATACAAGAATTAAAAATGATTTATGAGAAATAGTAATGAATGAGTAAGTCTCTGATTACTAGACTTAGAAATTAGGGCAGATAAGATACTTAAAAGTGGTTATGGTTTTTTAATAGTCTTTAATAGTAGTTTTTTACCTGGCCAAAATTCCATGGTCTGGGGATTGGGGTGTTACTATCTCCATTGTATATGATCCCTGTTTGATTCAGAATGTACTCGCCTAGCTCATTCTGATTGGGCATGAACACAGAGTCGGCTGGAAGGGAACAGGTCAGTAAGGATCTGGGGCAGCATTGAATACAAGCCTGAGTGTCCTTGTAATGGAGAACTTAATTTCCAGGAAATGGTTACTTACTGTGCCTAACAATGCACCACCTTTTTATTCATTTCAAACTGGGAGCAACATTATCATGTGTGCATGACATATTTATAAAATTAATTATTAATTACCGTATAAATAAATGTAAATTAAGTTCAACTATGGGGAAATGTTTCAGTACAGTATGAAGAATAATCATGTTGCTTTGATTTCCAATTAAATTCATTCAATTGTGTCAATTTACTACCTATGTCTATATGAGGAAAATGTGGATAGTTTGATAGTATTAAGTTCAACTTTGTCATAATGCTATTACATCATTGTCACAACCATATTATAACATGTTATAAGAGGTCATGTCAGTTTCTGACAATTATCCAAGTATGGCATAATAAAAATTTTTGGGGGAGAGCAAGAATTAATTTCACATTTTTGAATTGTGGGGACCAAATTTGGCCAAAATGTGATAAAAACCTGTAAATTTTTACCTTGTGGGTAGAATTTTTTTGGTCGACACTGGGATAAACTCAATTTTATATAAAAAAAAAAATCTGTGAGTACAATCAAAAAACTAAAACATCCAAAAGTCTTGTATTTATTTTGGATACTTATGGTTAAGGTTAGGGTTAAGTTGGGGTTAAGGTTTTCATAGTTGGAATTAGGGTTATGCCCACATAAATGAATGGACTGACACCACAAAGATATGAATAGAAACATGTGTGTGCATGTGTGTGTAATTATGTAATTCACATTGCATGCAATATATTACAGCTGTATCCAACAACACAGGAAAGAACAAATTAAATGAAACATTCCTAACAGTGCCGGTCAAAGCCCATGACATTGACCAACAATATACAGTACTGTGCAAAAGGCAGCCAAAGAAAATGTTTCTAGCTATTTATCTGGGTAGTAGGCCTATATTTGCTGAGACAAAAACATAATTTAACAAATGTAAATTAACAATAGCACAATAATTACTAACAACAGCTTCTTCTGTTGTCCAAAAAGATACTTTATGAATGGCTAGAAGAACACCGTTTCAGGTACCACACCTCTCCTCAGGGGAACCTCAGCCGTTCTGTGTATTCATTCAATTTCAACACCAGCTCTATTAATTAGTTAATTAAATCAGTGAGGTATTGATTATCCAAACATAATATGCTAGTGGCTGAGTCAAAAACAAAGTCTTGGGCTACTGAATGGTTGTTACAAATCCTGGGGTGACTTTAGGAGAGATTTTGAAATTGCTAAGATAACAGTTTGATAGATGTAATATCATTGTATTACATCAACATGACAATCATTTGAACATCATTTTCTTTGTCTGCCTAAGACTTTTGCACAGTACTGTAAATATTAATATGGTGGCTATTAGGTGCATAGGACATTCCTCATCATTTGAAACATCGTTTTTCAAATAAGTCATTCTCACCGGCAGCCCAGGGATTGAACAAAACGTAAAGCTCTTGGGATGTGGCCTTGTCCCTCACAAGGCCTGCAGGAGTGATGACCACCACATACATGCGGTATTTTCCCACAATGCATGTTTCTGCTGGGGTGATGCCCATCAAGATAGACCTGCTGGGATTTTGCAACAGCCTACCCTGCCACGATGTATTCTCATTCGGGTTGGGGGACACAATGATTGCTGTATTTTGGTCAATTTGAGGACTACCACCTTTAAAAAAAATAGATTACAACTGTATTTCAATCATACTTCTGAAATTTTAGTGCAAGAAATTCAGTTCAGATTTAAAATATGACTCCTCCATTATTCTAAAGTCAAGAAAGAGAATTAAACAAAAATTCATATTCTGATATATGTTTAAAAATGCCTAATATGGCAGTGGGAAAACAGAAAAAAGATATACAATGTTCTACAAATGAATAGCCTTTCATACAGAAATTGGTATGAATAAGATTATCTTACAGTAAAAATATAAATACAAAAATTACATAATGGATCATTTCAAAAAATATTTTCACCTTCTGCTTAAAAATAAACATATGCTTGTAAATATGTAGAAGCATGTTACAATTCCCCAGTAATGCAGAAAGATTCAAACTGTCCCTGAAGAGAGCTGTGCAAAACCACTACTCAAGGGAATATATCTGAAACTTTACATCTTTGTTGAAGCTGATCCCAGCCACCATCCTATAACCCATCTTCATCATTGTCTTTATGATGTAATGGTATGATCTGAAATCTACACCCTGCAACAATGTACAGGACCAAACCCTCCAGACAATCAGCTTCAGTATTTTTAACTGCAGGCCCTCTGGCCTACATGAGGTTTTATAACAGTCAATATGATTTATTGAAGATTTGCCAAGACCCGTCCTAAAACCAATATAAAACTACAGTACTTAACATGTGAACATGTACAGTCTTGCTACAATGTGTGATATCACACTGCAAATCTGTTCTAAAGCGATTGATATATTAGTACTATACATTTACTTATATGTCATGTACTAATAGTACTATAGTGGTACTATTAGTCCTATACAACATGGAATACAACATTTGATTTTGTCGGAGAGAAAATGGATTGTGCAATCTACAATTCGATATGGTCTTAGTGAGAAACACTACTTGCACACAAAAACAGCTATCCAAGTGAACAATAGTAATGTCCAATTTTTAACAAATGGTTCTTTTGAATCAGTTCTTTTCAAGAAGAATCCGTGAAAAAGGTTTTCGAATCTAAAATAATCTAATTTTTTGACCTATTGCATAGGTCAAAGTCTTATATTTAAGAAAAATTTTAATATTTGACAAATTAATATATAAAAACACAGCAACCTATTTTAATTCACTTACATCACAGGACCACAGACTAGACTTAGCAGGGACATACAATATAACGCTTACCAATGCGAAATTCCAGCTGGAATCTGTCTGATCCAGGATTGTAGGCTCGATTAAATGAAATTTGTACAGAGAACTCCTGGCCCCTGCGCACGATGAGAAGTGGGTTGGAATATAGATCGGTGTTGTGTGCAGCCCTGTTATTTGCCATCAGCATGTCAATCTGCGTCACCTGTAAATATCCTAATCAGAACCAAAGGGAGCAGATTGACACTTAGTGAAAGGAAAGCAAAGAAAAAACGTCGAAATAAAAGGTGCTAATGATGAGCTGATCATGCTATAACAGCAGAACACAAACAATCATTAGCCGCAAATACTGAGATGCTCAAGAATTCTTCCTTACCATCTACAGGAGCAGGGCCACGGGGATTCCCAGAAGGCTGGAATGAAGAGACGTCGTCCACCTCAGCGTTGGAACAGGCTTTGCGATGGTTTCTGCGCCCTCTTGTGTGCATACTGGACTGAACACGGTCCATGATACTAAAAAGTTCAGCTTTGTTCAGCAGTCTGCTGGGAAAAACCTGGACATAGAGAACCAAAGGAAATAATACCTCTGTGACATAAAAATGACTGACTGATTTGTCCATACTGCTCACTGTCCCCTAGTCACACAAGAATATCCAGGTTAACTGAATACTGGAAATTTACAGACTTATTTGTAAAAGCTATCTCCGGTCAGTTGTATGTTGAGTATGATGTCCGCTCTTTGAGATTAAATACGAAAGAAAGAAATATGACAATTTACTTAATATCTAATCATTTCTATTACAGGAATATGCAGCATCAAATCAAGGCAAAATAAAGTAAGCTTATGCTAAGACAACAGTGTAGTCTAGTCAATAGTCTCATTAATAAATATACGTAAATTATATTGAAAACGAAATGTGAAGATCTCTCCCTCTCCTTCTTGCCTCTGATTGGCTTCTCTCAAGAAGAGCTCTTGGGGTCGATGTCTACCAACTGTTGGCTGGTTGAGTCTAGCTTGACTTATATTGATACGTGAGAAGACGTTTTGGGTTTTACTTCCCATATTTTTGGCTCCACCCCTATGATGTGTTTTGAAGATCAAACAGATATTAAAAAATATAAAATCAAAAGTAATTAAATCATTCACTTAGTATGGCAAACATTATGAATGAAAAACAATATTGTGATAATATAAGAATGCCAAGCAATTATGCAAATTTTAATACATGTTACAAAGTTAATATCATTGAACATTAAATTTGTTTTGCAGTACATGTTAAGTTAGAAGACTGTCTACCTTTGATGTGCTTAAAGTTTTTCACAATTGCTTTGGCACATTTCATGAAACATACTTAACATTGTCAAGACTATAAGAGCATTTCTCAAAACAGTGTTTAATTCATGGATATAGCACAACACAATGGTTTAGCTGCAAAAGCCTGTAACTTACTCAACAATTAACTCATGTCTCAAAAGCAAGTAATTCCACAAATTAATTAGTCAGTGCCACCAAAATGAAAAGTACAATCAGCATCATTTCGACCATAAGAGTCAAAATGCTTAAATATATTGTTAGTATGTCAGAGTAAGTATGCACCGGAGCTCCACGATTCTGAATGATAGTCGCTTCCCACTTTCTCTTCGTCACTGACTGATCATTTTTCATTAGCAAACTGGTACTTATTTATGTCAAAGACACCAGCAGTTTCGCCATTGCAGGGTTCTACGTTACAGTATGTGAAGTTCACTGCCAAGAGAAAGCACTGGCATGCACCTGTAACTTATTCAGATCTCAAGACACAGTACTATAGCAAACAAAAAAGTCACACAGCACTGTATAACACAAAAACAGCAAAATGGCAGTACAAGAACAACAAAATCATACTGAATACATACAATGCATTATCACTGCAGTTTATGGAATATATTTTTTAATCATTTTGAAAGCTTGGCTAGCTGTTTCGCATATGGTGGCCAACACGATGACATGATATATAATTTTGGGTGTAAAATTATTACAATGGAAAACAATATAATCTTCTTTGACCAACAAGACTAAAGTAACTGAAAATAATGCCAAATGATGTCAATTGTACAAAACCATTTGCATGTATGTACTAAAACATTTGGCAAATTGTGTGAAGCAATATGAAATGATGTTCTACTGTGCAGAAGTGACATTATAGTGTGGTTTTGCTAATGTTAATTGTCATTTGAGAAATGCTCCATAGCAATTGAAAAAAACTGTAACATAAGAAAGGGGAATTCCACTTAAGTCTGAAAAAGCTGTTATGAACATTTGATAATTAGGTGCTACTGCAGTCAAAAATTGAGACGGCCTTTTAAGAATATGATGGGACTTCCATACAAGGACATGGTGGCCCACTGGGTGGCACTGTCACCTCACATCTTTGAGTCTTGTCCCTGCTCTGTGTGCCGAGGAATGGAACAGTGACTACGACTGAAAGCTCACCAACAGGGATGGACACTTAACAGGGTCAACACCACAAATGTACCATAGAACTGAGTCAACACATCTGTGAACCAGCATCAACAGAAACTTTGTGTCATGAACATGGAGACTTTATGGACACCAGAACTGAGTCTAAATCAGGGGTCTCAAACTCCTGTCCTGGGGGGCCGGAGCCCTACACAGTTTTTGGTTCACCTTCATTTAACACACCTGATTCAACTACTTGTGCTAATTACCAGACAGCTCTTGAGCGGAATCATTTGTGCTGGAAGGGGGAAAGAACTAAGCTACACAGGGCTCCGGCCCCCCAGGACTGGAGTGTGAGACCCCTGGTCTAAATCCTTTCATCCTCCCCAATAACCATCTTTGAAACGTTATGGTAAGTCCTAGAGCAGAGAGTGTGAAATCCATTGTTACTCCCACCATCCCTGAAAAAAACAGAGATTTTATTCTGAAAGAATAAATGTCACATTGCACACAGTTCAGAACTTGTATGACTGCATTTCTAGAAAGACTGAAGGCAAACAGTGGCCCTACTCATTATGAGCTCAGTGAAATTAGTATGATTAGATGATTCCACCATTTTTCTAACCTCATAGATATTCTTCATCCAGTATTGAAGTCAGTACAATTTCCACCATTCAAAAAGTGTAAAGTCTCACACTGATCAATGTGGTTTACCTAAGTGAGTTAAACACATAACCTCTGTTTTATATGAAAAATAACATTTAATTGACATCAAACAATTATGTTTTTGCATGGCACATTCTTGAGAAAAAACAGTAAACTATAATATTTAGTCACATTTCAGAGTAGCTGCCAGATTGAGACTGTATTTGTTCATTTGAATTGAGACCCCAATCAGGAAAAGCATTAAGAAGATTTGTGGATGTGCATAAAAGCAGCGTTGTTTGGCTTGTCCCAAATTTTGTGTCACAGTGTCACAGGATACAAAATATACCAGATGTCAGACAATAATATCAAGAAAGACTAACTTCTGTTTTTTGACTTCCATGTCCTGGGATGCCCGTGACCCGGATGATTCCGCAAAGTCACAATGAAACTTTCAGCTAATTTTGTAAAATTTGGGCCAGTAATTGGATAGATTGATAGTTTTTGGATAGTGAACCACTACAAAATTTACCTGATGACACTGCAGCTTTTCTCAATTACTTTCACGCATTTCTCAAGACAAGGGTAACACAAGATGTCACTTCTGCACAGCACAATGTCATTTCTCATTGTTTCACTCAAATTTCCAAATCTGTTGCTACTTGAATGCAAATGGGTCCCATACCATTATCATCATTTGGCATAATTTTCAGTTGCTTTAGTTTTTTTGGTCAAAATGGGTTATGTAATTTCCCACTGTAAAAATTTTTCATCCAAAACTATATGTAAGTGATCGTTGTATAAGTCACCATATGTAGAGCAGTTCACCAAACTTTGAATGATTCAAAAGCATATTCCAAACATGATACTGCATTGTTGTATTTTTGGTTCCCACAATACATAATTTTGTTGCCATTTTGCTGTTTTTCTGAACTTTACATACTATAATGTAGATTGTGCAATTTTGAAACTGATTTTTGAAGTATCACCACGCTAAAGAAGAACAATCAGTGACAGTGAAAAACTAGTAAATGACTATCCTTCAGAATTGTGGAGCTCCAGAGCATACTCACGCTAACATTATAAACAATATATCTAAGCATTTTGACTCTCATGATTAAAACTAAAGGTACTTTTCATTTTTATTGGCTGTTAAAATGGCCAGCTCTTACAGTTTTTTTTTTCTTTGATTCTTTATGTCTGCATGCCGACACCTTGTAATGTGATGGTGTAGCATAAGTGCATCTGTATGCTGGACTGCAAAACCACGTGTCAGGATGATTGCACCCTTATCAATTATTTCAGTTAGTTTGCGTTGGTGTTTGAGTGGTGTTTGGGCTTTAATTTGTGTTGCTGCACTTGAACAATAAACTGCTATTTAATTTAAATCAGCATCTCAAGTATCCAAAATCTTCTAGCCTTTTACAATTGCACTTACTAATTCAGTGATAAAATTATTTGCTTTTGAGGCATGTTTTAGGTGAGTTATGGCCTTTTGTTTATCCTTGCTGTCATGCTGTATGCATGAATTGTTTTCAGAAATGCTTTATAGTTGTGGAAATGCTAAGTATGTTTCACCACCAAAATGAAAAGTATAATCAGCATCGGTTTAAGCATGAGAATCAAAATGCTTAGATATTTTGTCAGTATGTCAGTGTCAGTATGCTCCTGGGCTCCACAATTCTGAATGATGATCTTTTCCCACTTTCTCTCTGTCATTGAGTGATCATTATTATTTAACAAACTGATAGTTATTTATGTCAAAGACACCAGCAGTTTCGCCACTGCAAGGCTCTATATTACAGTATGTAAAGTTCACTGGCAAGACAATAGCAAACAAAAGTCATACAGCACTGTATAACACAAAACCAGTAAAACGGCAATGCGTGAACCTAAAACACAACAATTCTGTGTCACTGCAGTTTGACAAATCACTTGCATTCTTGAATCATTTTGAAAGTTTGGTGAACTGCATTTGATGGGTGCATAAGTATTATAATGGGAATGTACATGATCCATTTTGACCAACAAGACTAAAGCCACAGAAAATTGTGCCCAATGATGACAATGGTGTCAATAAATGAGACATTTATGTTTCTTTGTATACTATTTATTAATTGTGTATTTCTGTTACAGTTCCTAGTTACTCCCTGTTTGTAGTAATGTTTAGTTGCCCTTGTACTCTAGTCTCCCTTGTTGTTTGATGTTACTTGCCAGCTGTGCTAATGTTCATATTGCTTGTTACTGCTCACAACTGTCTCTTGTTAATCCTCATTATGTATGTGTTTAGTTGCTTGCCTTTGTTTTAAACTTCAGTTGGTCACTGTACGTGCTGTTCTGTGTTTGTGCTGCTGCCCTCCACCTAACCCTCCCCACTACAACTGCAATCATTCCAATGTTTGCCCCTGGGTTTCTCTCTGCCTTTTATCTTAAATGTGGGGGGGTCCAAACGAATAATTATGAAATGTGAGGGGGACACGTCTCCCTCAGATTTAATGGCGGTGACGCCCATGGATAGATAGATAGATGATAGATAGATAGATAGATAGATAGATAGATAGATAGATAGATAGATAGATAGACATGAAGATGACCTGTTTGAGATATTTTCGTCTATTAAAAGTGGACTCTTGATTTATTATATATAAATATATTTATAAATATATATAATTTTACATATACATTATATATGAAGTATGCACTTTTGAAGGAAAAAGTAAACACATCCCACATGGGCCATTTGTGCTCTAGGTTACTGACAGGGAAGCACTTTGAGTTTTTCATGAACTCAAAGGATCCCCCCCCCCCTCGCCACCGTGTCTGTGAACTGCATTGAAGCAGGATGTCAGGTCACCCTGACATTCTTTTCTGACTCAGAATTTCTCCTGTCAACCAGTACTTGTTGCAAAA